CATCCTTGTTAAATCACCCCAGGGAAAAGTGGCCAAGAAGATAGAATACGCCTAATGATCTACATATTATAACTAAGTTTATTTACCCATATAATATACTACACCATAGGGACTCAATACCTGTTTATTTACAAATATATTATATAGCAGTGTTTAGTTCCATAGGGGCTAGATAGATACAAAAACAATAGTGTAATCTTTGGTAACGTTCTGATATTAGAGTTATGATTAGAGACAGAAACTAACTCTTATATAGTGACTTGATAAGAGGGTAAAAATCATAGTATAATTTGTTGGTAACATTCTGATATAAGAGTCATGATTAGAATTGAAGTTAAAAACTATATATTTTTTTTTAAAGTAACATTCTGATATTGGAGTCATGATTAGCAACAGAAATTAACTTGGATATACTTACCTGATAGAGGATAAAAACTATTCATGAAAACATTCTGATATTAGAGTTATGATTAGAAATAGAAATTATCTCTAAAATAGTTACATGATAGAGATAAAAACAATAGTATATTTTATAATAACACTCTGGTATCAAGAGTCATTAATAGAGGTAGAAATTAACTCTGATATAGATATCTGACAGTTAAAACGATATTTTTTTAATAATAACATTCTGATTTAAGAGTTCTGATTAGAGACAGAAATTATCTCTAATATAGTAACCTGATAGAGATAAAAACAATAGTATATTTTATAATAACATTCTGATATTAGTGTCATGATTAGAAAAAGAAATCGACTCTGATATACTGGTTGTAATATGTCAGCGACTGAGTTGGGAATCCAATACCAGTTCAAATATTAGGCTACTATTAATTAATTAAACAGTAAGTTTCTTCTAATCAAAAATACAGATAAGATAGACCGTTAGTAGTTTAGCTCTACTGAGTGGTTGTGTCTGGTAGAAATATAACCTATAAAACATACTTGCAGAAGGAAATGAAGTAAACTTCTTAAGGCAGTTTGAGGTAATATCTGTATCAACCTACAGATTGCTCAGAATGTTTAGATACTGTAACTATATTCTCTCTATCTAGTAATCTACTACTAATTGCAGTGGGAAATGAGGTAAATTTCTGTAAACATTGTTAGTCAGTTTGAATTATTTAGTTCAGAATGTTTAGATACTGTAATTTTGGCTGTGTCTGCTAGAAATATCACCTAGTTATCACTTGCAGTATGAAATTAGGTAATATTTCTAAAATCAATTTGAGTAAGTTTCTCGATTAACCTACACCAAGTTCAGAATGTAATTTTATTGGCTGTGCCTGCAAGAAATATCAACTGGTTACCATCTGGTCTCTAGACGGTTCATTTCACCTCAACCTAATCTCTAGATACTTGACCCCAGGTCATCCTCAAGTGGTGGCCAATCAGCAGGTTGTGATATCAACAATCTGTTAGATGTAGCACCACAATACAACAGAAATATAAACAAATATATCAACTAAACAATAGAAGCTATGAGGGCAAAGATATGCTAAGTCAACAGACCTGAATACAAAACAAAGAAAGGATACAAAGTTGACAAACCTAAGAACCAAACAAAAAATATCAGTTATGGGGACCCTCTGAATGGGATGATGAGTTGACAAACTTAAATACCGAATAAACATATTAATTATGTGGACACTCTGAAAGGGACGTTGACAAACCTAATTACCCATCAAACATTATAAGCTATGTAGACTCTCTCAAAGGGATGGTAAGTTTACAAACCTAAATACAAAATAATCATATTTACCTTTGTGAACTCTCTGAAAGGGATGATGAATTGTTAAACCTAATTACCTATCAAAAATTACTAGTTATTTGGATTCTCAGAAAGTGATACTGCATTCTGCAATGCATTCTGCAATGGAGTTTTATATCTTACTTTCCTGCTTGTGATTAGGCTAATGACAGTCAACACTAGTCAGTGGGCAATGAAGGAAATATTTCCAGAGAAGTGGTATTAGTCTAAGGTTTTTTAACTTCCAACTGTTAAGGGATATTTAGTATGCAAAGCCTGTAGTGCACAGTGCCTTAGTGAGAAAGAAAATAGTCAATAAATATTCCAATAAGTCTCAGAGAACTGATTAAACCCAGTACATGGGGAAAAAAGACATCCCATTAAATTCTTTAAATGTCAAATAACTTGAGAAATAATGGAATAATATTTCAATTCTTAAAAAACCTTTTATAATTTCAATACATCACGTTTGAAACATTCATTTCTCTTCAAAATATTTTTATTTCTTAAAAACTAATCAAAACATGTTTTTCCAACATGCTAATGAAACATAAAATACTTTCAACTGCAAATAATTTTCTCAATACTTTCATAATGTATTTGAAGAGGTTGTTAAGAGATATCTAGATTTTATATTTCTTGGACATTCATGGTTACTATTTGCAGTATTCAAATTTTCTGTCCGATGTCTGGCTCATGTTACTATAAAAACACTAAAGTTAAGCGGCTTAACCATATATAGCTACATCACAAATCATCTAGTTTGTTTCAGTAGAATTTCAAGAACCACTGACATATAGGTATTGTGCAAATCGATGATAGTGTTCCTGATAAACATAACATGTTAAAATATTGTATTCCTTGTTCTTTGAAGTGTGTTATACTGTAATATCAGTAGCATATTAAGGGGGGCCACTGGGTCATGACCAATTATATCATCAACACTGAAAGAATCACTCATATTATAAATCTTCAATGGATCACTTATATTAGAAATGCTAAATGAACCACTCATATTAGAAATGCTAAATGAACCACTCAGAGAGACACCTCCACCTCAGGGATTTTCTAGATACGCCCCTCCATAATATATACTTAATTTTTTTTGTTATATCGGCTCTCTGCTTCTAAATGTCATTCAGATCTTATAATTAGATATTTAAAAATCAACCCACACACTGCCTCTTTCAAATAATTAATGTATAATGCTATTTAATCTGAAACGCTAGATTATAATTAATTCATAACGATATTTTAGTTGCCATGGTAATTACTTCCACAATCAACACCACGACATAAACATCAAACAGATTTTAAAAATTATCACGTTTTAAATATGTGACAGTACAGATATTGTTAACCATGCATAAATGTTTCATTTTTCTATATTCCTCTATAATTAATGATAAATGAACTCATAGGTTTGATTCCAGATTTCTGTAATAAATTCTATTTAATACAGTATACACTTTGTAATCCGTCATACACTGGGACAATTATGAAATATTCAACCTTCAGTCATACACTTCTCTTGAACTTATTAATATTACCAGGTTTTGTCAAAATCTGTCAAGAATTGGGCCTTCAAGAGTGTTTACAGGCTAAAAATTGAACACATTTTCAAGAACAAGGACAATAACCCATACTAAATATTACTCAATTTTTCTGATTTTCAATAGAGTTCATCCTGGGGTGGTTACTAACATACCAAGTACCAAGCTTCCTCTAAATCCATCAAGAATTGAACCTTCTGGAATGTTTACGAGCTAAAAAAAACACGTTTTTTAAAGAAACAAGGGCAATAACTCATACTAAATATTTTTCGATTTCTCTGATTTTCGATTGGGATCATCCTTTGGTGATAACAACATTCACACCAAGTTTTTTCAAATTCTGGCAATAACTGAACCTTTTAGAGTGTTTACAAGCTAAAATTGAACGTGTTTTCATGAACAAGGGCAATAACTCATACTAATTACTTTTTACGATTTTTCTTATTTTCAATAGGGTTCATCCTTTAGTCAAAAATTTTGCCTTCTAGAGTGTTTACGAACAATTGTGGACAGACGGATGGAAATGGGTGACACCATATACACCCCCCATTTCATGTGGGCGTATTAAAAGTCACAAGGGTTCTTTAAATCATAAGCTTTAACTTCTTTCAAAAAAACCTACTTATTTTGTAATATCATCAATACTCTAGTTTTTTAAGAAAAATTTGTCTGATGTGACATTTTCTGGGAAATAATAAATAATAAATAAACCACATAATGATCAATGTTTTCTCTACAGTGGAGAAAAATAGAAAATAGACATTAAATATTGAGAGGTTTTAAAGGTTATTACAATGTATTGTCTAGAAACAATGTATCACATCCTTCTCATTCTATTGTTTTATCTTTATTGTTTATTGGCTGTTCTTTTAAAGGTCACATATACTGATAATACACATGATCTTAAAGGGATATCTTTATTTAAAATATTTGCTTTACCAGCTGATAGAGCTGAAAGGGTTAGTCATTTTAATGTTTATTTTCCTAGCTGATAGAGCTGAATTTCAGCTATCTGTAAAACCGTCTGAATATCTAATTTATGAATATATTTCCAGCTCACAGAACTTGATTTCAGCTATCTGTAAAATCGTCTAAACATTTACTTTACTAGCTGATAGAGCTTAATTTCAGCTCTCAGTTAAACTGCCTAAATATTTATTTTACCAGCTGATAAAGCTCAATCTCAGCTTCCAGTATAGTCATCTGAAAATTCATGTTCAGTTGTCTGTAACACAATTCAAGTATAAGATGTGGGGGTAAAAGTTTAGACCATTGTCATTTCCGGGCCATAATAAACACCATCCATGCAAATATTGGTGACATCATAATTAGGTACAAAAATAATGAATTATTGGCAGATGTATATACAGTGAATGATTATTGATCTTATTTTGTTTCAATGCAGAGATATAGAGTGTAATGTAGGTGTGTCTAGCAGGGCTTATTTCAGGTTTTACAAATGGAACCTTTGGTTCTGAACTTCTGAATTTTATCGTGCATGCGTAATTCCAAATTCCTAAATTGACTATCTATATTTCATAAAAGAAAATATATGGGAATCTCTTAATATGTAAATGTTTGAAAAGAGATTAGTATTGGAATTGGTCTTATATTTAAATTAGCCCTGATTGTGCTGGAATGGTTATAAGGTCAACATTTGGATTTGTCAATACCTTGAAAAATGTTTTCATGTAATATTATGTGCAAAATGAACTGTGTAATGTAATTTGTGATGTTAACAGTGAGTTGTATACAATAAGGCTTACCTGAGCCCTGATGGCTGATAATTGCATACTAGCAACCCGTATTTCATTTCGCTTCCGACATAAATCCTCTTGAGTTTCGTATACTTTCGCATATTGATGATTAGCAAGATTTCTGTAAAAATAAAATTTCAAAATATTAAAATAAACATACCTTGTTCAGGTCATCACCTTCGCTGTGTGTACTGCGACTTTTTTTCACACTTCCTGAAGATTTTAACTTTCCTTTCACACTTCCTGATCGTGATTTAACACTCCCAGATTTCGACGTCCGTTTTTTCACGTCAGCATCACCAATGTGTTCTGCTAATTCCCCCATGTCACTCGTAGAATGGCAGCCAGTTACTGGCATGTCAAAATATACACAGAGAACTAAATTTTACATAAAATTCCTATTTCTTCAATGTCAAAAGATATTGATTATTTCAGTATTTAATAGAATCCAGAATTCTTCTGGAATATTTTATTGTGCTTATTTGATTATGTTCAATATATATTCAGATGCAATAAAACTATGTTCAAAATCTGTCAAGTTGTTCGAAAAATCAATTTAACACGAACAGGTAAAAACTGTGCTTGTTGTCAACTTAATTCAAAATAATAAGTGCAAAATTCACAGAATGGTAGTCCAAAATTGTTGAGTTGATCGAAACTTAAAGAAATATTCAACACAAAAATGTATTTGCGATCAATTTATTCCAAAACTATGACATCAATATTCCTATATAATGCTGTGTTCCTTTCTTTTCTTTTCCAGATTTTCAATTAAAAGTTAATTATAGTTATTTTTGACTACACATCATCCGAAAGCATAATCAAATCAGAAATTCTATTTCTAGTTCTTCATGGCCTAACATAATGGTTATATCCAACGCAAACTGTCCATTTGTGTATCTAATTCCTGCTGCTCTGATTGGCCTCGATCCAATATCTATCAGTCTGTGATTTAATCCAAAATAAAATATATCACACAAACTGTTTGAAAATAATCAGAAGTATATCCAAAACAATATTGTTCAAATATCAGTTTATGAAATGGTTATTGATATCATCTGAAGATGTTCTATAGAAACACCCACAACTAGTGTAAAATATTACTTAATCCGAGTGTTTATCAATTCAGAGTCCTTGAAACTTATTGCCGCATTAGGTTTCAAAAAGAAAGTTAATTTTTACAACATTTCAATTCATCTCTCGAAAAACATACACTTTCTAGAAGAAAAAAAAAGAAAGACGATAAAAAAAATGTTACTATTGACAGAAGAATTCAACAAGTCATTAAAATTTACAACTAATTTTTCGAAAAGGATCTTTACTTCAACACAAACTCAAACTTTTCAACATATATTTTTCAATTTACAGCTGTTTTACGAATTCTAGATGGAATCACAGTGGTAGAACTAGCAAATGGAATAATCACTTAATTACACTAGAAACTCTAAGTAAATAATCCGAATACCACTTTTCTTCAAGATAAGTTATATGCATAGAAAGAAGTAGGCTTATGACTTGTGGACAACCTTAAAGGGATTGTAAAGAGGTTTACTATATTTTTAATGTGAATCGGCCACTGATAGCGTTGATTTGCACCATTCCAATTTTCAATCAGACATCTGTGGTTCTTGCAATTCTACCAAATCTTAGCAGTTTTATGATGTCACTATCGCGAAAGGCCAAGTTTTAGTGGAATTGAAGGAACAATGTCTAACTGGAAAATGAAAATTGTACAAATTGACGATATCAGTGTCCCTGCTACACGTAAAAAAATTCTAGAAAACCTCTTTACAATCCCTTTAACTATTACACTAAAAACTCCACCAAAATTACTTCATTAACCAATTACACTTCAAGAATATATCAATTCAAAACAAGATAGAATTTAAAATAAAAATGGTAACTTTATAAACTCAACAAGAAACTGAAATCACAGAATTACACTTAACCTAGCCTGCACTTTTTATATTCTCGGTTCACTCTAATAATACAAAAGCTTAACAAAGTTACTTAAAAGTTAATTCAGAGCGAAAAGAACACCTGTTTTACAAAACTAACAAAGAACTATTAACAAATTAACTTTAAATCAGGCCAACGTAGAATTTCTATTTTCAATTTCTATTTTCACGTTAATTGGAGCTAGAGATAATATTGAGATAGTTTAAATCTTAAAAATAGTCAAAACATCTTTAAACAGTAATCTGAAACACTGACAATTAGTTCTTGGCAGATGTAAATTAGCTACAGCCAGAAAAACTACTAGCTTAAACTATATTTACTAGTGCTGGCACAATATATCGGTGAATTTCTACGTGTACCGTATCGCGAAGTCGTGTATCGATACTTGATGATACCTATCACTCCATAAAAAGTGGAGGTTGGTAAATAAAAACACATTATTTTTTTTACAGACTCGACTAAAATTGTTGAAACAGTGTTTAATGTATCAATTTTCTGCTCATTTTGCAAATGAAGATAAGCAATACCATGAAATTTTTGTGAAACACCGACTTTTTGTTTTCTGACTTGCAGAGTCTGTTTCACACAGAGCTTCTATATATTGTTCCATCCAAAATTGCCAATATATCTTTCTAGATTATCCTAGTTTTTCTTAAATCTCCATAAGACATGAACCTGGTTCTAGCTGTCTGACATCTATCACAGGTCACAAAATCAGTATCAGACTAATTTCATTTTGGTTATGCAACTTAATGCAATTATACATTCATGTTCTGGCTCTAGCTGGCTGACATCCATCACAATGCAAGCATCAGAGGGACCAGATAAAAGTCAGTGAGTTTCAGACTAATTTTTACTCTAATGAAACTACATACTTTCACTTTAGTTATAAAATCTTGTTGGCAGGGCGATTTATCGTAAAACCTAGTGATAACAAAATGTTCACTTTATTAAAACTCACACCTCCAGCTGTGTTCTGAAGATGTAACACATAAAAACATCTCTCACTTTCAAAAGATTTGTCGAAGTGAAATACAAAATAGAATACTGCATGGCATTGTCTGCCTTTATTAGCTCAATAAGGAGCAGATCAGAAATAGTATATTCATGTATCTTACTTATGCCTATTTCTATACGTCTTATAAACAGTACATATCAAGTGAGACCTGGCAACGTATTCTCGCAAACACCTTAGTGCTAGGATGTCCTAGTAACAGTGTTAGAAGTTAAGAACCTAGGATATCCTAGCACCAAGATCGTTTCGAGAATACATGGCCTGACCTTTCCTAATTTCAGTTTGTAAATTTTAAAATCCAAACTTTAACAGACCAACCAAACCAACAACTTACTTGTCGGCTTTTATCATTAAAATTCTTAAGAAATTTCAGATTCATAAAGTTTCTTCATCAATAAAATTATAACCAATCAATCAGACAACTTATTAAAAAAATATTGATAAATTGATCGTTAATTACATCACTCATGAAATCAACTGGGATAAATTTGTTAAAATTATGAAAAACACCCACTTTGAATTTTGTTTTGCATTTAGTTTAACATATAAGTTAGAAAATATTGCATCATTTGAAATTAAAATTGGATCACATTTGATATTCAATACAAAGAACTTGATCATCAAAAATCGTTGAAAAATTCTCAAAAAGTTAACTAATCAACCTAAACCAATTCACTAAAATAAAATTTGAAATTTAACAAACAGAAGAGGCAACAGGTCATCATCTAAAATAAAACTCGATCAAATAAGCAATTACAACTGCTAAAATCTAAAGTTCATCTAAAAAGCAATATCCGTTCAATAATCAACACAAGATTACACGTAAAACAAGTGGTAAATTGCACAACAAAAAATAGAAAACCTGTTAACGAAAATATCGTATTTCAAAACTTGAGTTCTGCCAGAAAATACATCAAGAGATTTATAACGTGTAACAAATCGTAAATAGCTTTCATCATTTAAATTTACACACTGAATTTAGTTCTTCAAAAAATAAATCCCCAAGATATAAATATATACTACTTGTTTTGATAATAGTAATCATATGCCAACAGCATCTGAATGGAATTTGGTCAAAATACAGAGAACATAGAAATACAGCTGATAACAGCAAGTGACTAAATCCATACAAAATTTTACTAGATGGTAAAATTTCTGGCATTCGAATAAACTTAAAGTTTCAAAATCATTGTTTTATGTGTTGATTGAAACTGAGAAACTGCTGACAACAGTAAATTACTACAAATGGGGTTCATTTCTATAGAAATCATTAGATCTTCACTTTACTTTAAACTGTCATCCAAGACAAGTTTGTTCCAAACAAAAATACCTGCTATCCACCGCACACAATACAATCCAAATAGTGTTTCATTGGTCAGTATGCTACATATATAAACACAAAAAAAATACTTCAAATAAATCAAACAAAATGCTGATTCACTGACATTTATATTTACAAGTTCCTTAAGCTAGTTAACAGAAACAATACTTCCTTTTCTGCCAAACTGAAAAAATGAACACAGAATTTCAGTTTATACCTTGATAACTATTAGAAACTGCTGACAACATAAATAAATCCAAATGGTGATTGACCGAGCAACAGGGTATATAAATTTTACATTAAAGTAAGAGAATCACCACAATTAAGTTCCAAATTACACTATAGTAAAAACAATGACTTTTCATCAAAAAATAAATGTAACTGCTAACAATAGCAAATAAATGAAATTTTTGGTTCAAAAAAGAAAGTCAGAAACACAATATCAAAGTTTTAAATGACACTGCAGTAAAAACCAAAGACTTTTCGTCAAAACTAGAAAGAAACTACTAAGAACAAATAAATACAAACAGTGGTTCAAGAAGACCAGTATAACTTCCCAATGAAAGTCAGAAACACAATATCTAAGTTCTAAATGACACTTCAGTAAAAATAATGAGTTTTCTTCATAAAAATCAAAAACAGAAAGAAACTGCCTACAACAGTAATAAATAAATCAAAACAATGGTTGACTGACTAGTAGACTATATAAATTCCAGTAGAAAGTGAGAAACTCACAATATTTAGTTTCAACTGACACTGAAGAGTAAAAACAATAGACTATCACTATCTAGATTGTTTAACTACCGACTCTAGAACAGACTTTAAT